TCTCTCTGTTCTTATTTCCTACTGCCCTTCTGCTTGCAAACTACATTTTAGCCATACTTGCTTCATGTTATTCCTTGAACTTTTTGGATGTATTTTTACTTCAGGGCCTTTGGCCCTGCCTGTTCACTGTTCCTCTAGAACACGCTTACTCTGGACATGGTTAATAATCACCTTCAGGTTTCTGCTCATTTGTCACTTTCCATATGAGGCTTGTCCTAATTACCTTATGTAAAATTGCATATCCCCTCCCCACACTTTGCTCTCTGGATCTCCCTTACTCTGCTTTACTCTCTCTCTCTTGCATAATACTTATCATTTCTAACATAAATATGTTTTACTTGCTTTATTATGTTTCTCATCTTACTAGCATGCCCTGAGGGTGGGATTTTTGTCTGTGTTATTAGTTAATATATATAAGACTGTGTGTGTGCATCAAGAATCTTCAGTAGTGTCCAGTGTGTGTAGTAGGCATTCAGTAAATATTTGTAAATTAATAAAGGTTAAAGGACTAGACTTCTTTTTTTAAAAAAGATTTTATTTACTCTTGTACAGAAGAACTGGGGTGTAGGCCAGAGGTGCAGGGGTGGGGGGAGGATTCACCAGAGGCAGAGTGGGGAGCAGAGCAGGCGGATTTACTGAAATACACTGCTAAGGGGAACAGTGGGCGAGACAGAAGTCTGCTGTGCCATATATGGGTTAGCTCCCTGGCTGGGGATCAAACTTAGGCCAATCCTGGTGGGCTGTTGTGATGATAGCACTGAGACTTAATCCCTAGGCCACCAGGGAGGCCCAGGACTAGAATTCTTTTTTTTTTTTTTTTTAATTTAAAGATTTATTTATTTATTTATTTATGCAAGCACTGGGTACAGTCAGAAGCGCGGGAGGGTGAGAGAATTCACCAGAGCCAGAGCGGGGAGCAGAGCAGGCAGAAGGACCGAAGGACACTGCTGAGGGGAGCAGCGGGCGGCAGGAGAGGTCTGCGCGCCATGTGGGACCCTCCTCCGGTGGCCGGGGAGCAGCCGGGGATTGAACCGGCGCTGCAGAGGCTGCGGGCAGCTTCGCAACCCAGCGCTCAACCGCTGCGCCACCGGGGAGGCCCAGGACTAGAATTCTTAATGAGGTCAAAGAAATAGCTGATTGAAAGTAAAGAAGTAGAACTATAGGAGTTTGTGATTAGAGATAGACCCTGGGAATACAGCTGTAAGCAAAGCAGTAAAAACTCCTGTTCTTAAGGAGTTTACCTTCTAGCTGGGAAAATACACAATAAACCATGCTAAATAAAGCATATATTTTTGTTTGACAGTTGGTTCTACTAAGGACAGGGAGATTGACATTTTAGATAGGTTTGGCCAGGAAGGTCTTGCTATGAAGGTGCCATTTGAGTGAAGATCTGAAGGCTACAGAGTAAGAATATTCCAGCCAGAGGGATAATATAGTTATTATTACATGCTGAGACTGGCCTCAGAGTCAGGATATGTGAAGAAATAACTTGTAAGGAGAACTATATTGTAGATAAACAAAGAGGGTGGTTAATAATCTTTACTACCCACCTTCTAGAATGGAATCTTTTTTTTCTCACAGTAAAAGAGAATGATCCATTGTTTATTTTAACTATTGCTTTTGCAAGTTACATCTTTGTGTTTTAGAAAGTCATTAAAAAACTGATGATAATGATAAATGTTATTCTTTGAAAGCATCTTTAAAAACAACTCACTACTTTTAGTGGACAGCAGAGGGAACCATTTTGCCAGTTAGCTAAATCTGGAGGCAGCTTATTTAGTGATTAAAGCCCTTTCATTTACTATGTTATGATAAAAGCAGCTCCTTTGATTTTTTTAAAATAAAATTTTGTTTTCTTACATAGTTCTGCTAATATTTATTTGTATGGCTATACTGGTGTAAGTAAATTTGATAGAATATTCATGAAATTTAGAAGAATTAAATAGTACAAAAATCTTCAGAGAATATTGCATTTGTCTATATAATTTTCTGGGTTTTTTTTGTTACTTGCCAGGTGAATAGTGGCATTAATAATATACTGTCACATTGGTATATCTTTTTAGATTATATATTTGAATCTTAAAATCCTGTTTTTTCCCGCTCATTCTTAATTCTGTTTTATAGCAGAAAATATATTTTGCTATTTGAATTTAGTTTGCTTTGCTACAGAGAGTCTAATTATTACTGATATATTACAGTGTAAGTTCCAGGGGTCCTTATTTTACCTTGAATGTTTTCTGTATAGCACCAATTTTTCAGTTGCCACGGTTTTCCTTTGTTAAATCCACCCCTCCTTTTTTACCTTCCCATATGTAGTAGCTGACACTAGGCCTTTAACTCCTTAATACTTTGATCGTTGATCAGGCTAACTTTTGCTCATTTGACTTACAGGGTGGTTTTTAAGAATCAAATTTAAAATATTTAAAATAATTAAAAGGACTTTGAAGCCTAATAGGGGGAACTTTCAGATTTCAAGGGTATGAAAGGTAACAGTGAGATAGTTTGGGATGATGAGATGGGATTAAAAGGGGCATTTTAAAACTGAATCAACTCAACAAATATGTTTCTTAAATTTTGTCTTGATGAGAGAATTAGTTGGGGGCTTCTTTATTGTTCTTCAGGTGATTTCTTAGTTCATTCATTTTTTTTTAAATATTGGTCATGGAAGGGATTATGCTAAGTGAAATAAGTTCAGAAGGGAAAAAGAAAAACATCAAATGCTTTCACTAATAGGTAGAAGATAAGAAAACCGAACTAAGGGTCAGGAAAAAGATAAAACTTGCAAGCTGACCATAGATTTCACCCATACAGCAGTGGAGGGGGAGGGAGAAGGTTCAGAGAAGGGCACAAGGGTCTGTGGTGATGGGTCAGGGATGCTATGGTGGTGGGAGAACTACAAGGATTGCACCTGAAAGGAGAAATCAAATATTGCACAATAATAAGCAGTGATGTCATATTAAAAAAACTAGCAACAACAAATGTTGGCGAGGTTGTGGAGAAAAACAAACTCTCCTGTGCTGTTGGTGGGAGTGCAAACTGGTCCAACCACTATGGAGAGCTATGTGGAGATTTCTTGACCTACTAAACTTAGAGCTTTCATATGATCCAGCAGTTCTACTCCTAGGTATTTACCCAAATGACACGGAAACATTAATTCCAAAGGGCACCTGCATCCCTATGTTTATAGCAGCACTGTTTACAATAGCTAAGCTTTGGAAACAACCCAAATGCCCAAAAATAAATGACTGGATCAAGAAGATGTGGTACATATACACCATGGAATATTACTCAGCATCAAAAAAGATAAACTCATGCAATTTGCAGTAACATGGATGGAGCTAGAAGGGGTCATGCTCGGCGAAATAAGTCAGAAAGAAAAAGAAAAATACCGGATGGTCTCACTCATAGCAGGAGTCTAGAAAACATAAATAAGGGACCAGGAAAACGACTAAATAATACAAAGTAAAAATCAAAATCAACAAGCAACTATAAACCAGAGATATACTACGGCGTGGGGGGGGGTGGGGAGAAGGATTAGGGTCAAAATAAGGTGGGGTGCAATTGTATGGGGTATATATCCAAAATGAAAATGCATACATTGTGCAAAAATGAAAAATGATGTAAGAATTATGTAAAATAAAATATTAAAAAAATAAAATGAAAAATTACAAAAAAATAAGCAGTGATGTAAGAAAATAAATTTAAAAAATTTTAAAAATAAATGCCATTGGGTACTGTGCTGGAAAAATGTGGATAAAATGTAGTGTACACTTTTAGTCCTTAGAATAGTGAACACATTTCAATAGTGGTTTCACAATTTAAGGCAAGGATGACTTTGAGGTGGTCTTAGGAATGGACAGGAGTTGATCAGGAAAGCCTTAAAGAGGCCAGAAATGCTGGTCTTTGAAGCAGGTGAGTTGCAGCTTGCCAGGCAGGTGATGGTGTAGGGCGTTCCAAGGAGTTGGCTCCTAGACAGGCTACCTAGGTTTAAAGGTAATTCTGATATTTATAGTGTATTCTTAGGCAATTGTGCATTTGTTTTCTCGCCTGTAAAATGGGGATAATAACTGCACTGATTTTGTAGGGTTGTGAGGATTAAATGAATATACAGAAGACATTTAAAACAGTGCCTGGCATATGGTAAACAATTGGAGCTTTAAGTTTTAGTGTTATTCTAGAGATATAGGGTGTAGAATTGGTAGGCTATGAGTTTTATTGAATGTGTTAAAAGGATTCAACTAGAGCAGTGGTTCTTAGTCTTGGGTGCACATTAGAGTTACCCAGGGAATTAAAATGTGTTAATGCCAGGCCCCGCCCTAGACTGATTTAATCAACATCACTAGTGATGTGCTCCCAGGTGACTCTGAAGTTCAGTGGGGATGAGAGCTACTAACATAGGACTATATCCAGGCTTCTGGCTTGGATGACTGGGTTTTATCCTAGTCATTTACTAGGATAAAAAACAACTTGAAAGAAAAGATGTTGCTTTTAATATAGCACTTTCTAAGAATCCTTTTAGCATTTGAATGCTTTAGCTTTCTGTAACTAAGGAATACTTCTAAATACTGGTTTCTGAACTGGATATCATAAATGACCAGGACTACATGACTTTAGTGTTTTGTGTCTGCATTTTATACTCTTCCCCCACCTAGCCTCCTTCAACCACCACTACCACTAGAATGCAAGCTCCATCAGAGCAGTGATCTTTCATGTTTTTGTTCATCAGTCCTGAATTCCTGGTGCACAGTATATAATACATATTTCCTGAATGAATGAATGACTGTCAGGCTTGTTTTCTTTCTTTCCAGATTCTTGATTTTGCTCCAAAGTAATTGAGTTGTTGTGGAGCAGAGTTTCAGAGATATCTATGAAAACTGTTTTCTTCCTGTATTTAATTTATAAACATGGAACTTATTTTTATTTGCTAAGGTTGTAAGAATACAGTTCAGCAAATACTTCTTAATACATCTTAACAGTGAAAACTTTTTATGTTTTGGTAGGAACCACCAAAGCCACCTCTAAATAATTTTAAAGTGGGAATGAAACTGGAAGCTATAGATAGAAAAAATCCGTATCTCATCTGCCCTGCAACGATTGGAGATGTTAAAGGAGATGAAGTTAATATCACATTCGATGGCTGGAGTGGAGCATTTGATTACTGGTGCAAGTATGATTGTCGAGATATTTTCCCAGTTGGGTGGTGTCGCCTGACAGGAGATGTACTACAACCACCAGGAACTAATGGTAAGCCAATAAGTAATCACATGTTCTTTTATTTTATTGAAGTTTGATCTAACTGCTATTGCCATGTGCTTGTGAAAGTTGGTGTATTCTCTGGCTACTACCTTGTTAATGGTGGAACAGCCCTTCTTCTCACTATTTTTCTTTTCAGGAGCCCTTCATTCTTCAAGGATAGTTGCTAGATATAGAATTCTAGGTTGACTGAAACACACTGCTGAGGGGAGCAGCAGGCAAGTCAGGAGAGGTCTGCTGCTCCATGTGGGTATCTCGCTGGCCGGGGATCGAACTTGTTCTGCAGTGACTGCGCATTGCTTCATGGGTTGAGTCTTAACCCCTTGCACCACCAGGGAGGCCCTAATCTGTTTATATTTATTATAATTGCAGATATAATTGTCCTACCTTTTCTGTGATTTATTTTCCTCTTGTGCTCTTTTTGGATTATTTTTTTCTCATTTAATTTCACCCCCTTCTTGTTTGAAAGTTTTACACTATATTTTCTATTCTTTTAAAACTCTAGTAAACATGCTTTATTTTATTGTGATAAAGTTGGTTTACATCATTTTACTTATTTTAGGGGTTATAGACTGTGCTTTCTTAACTTTAATGGAAGTCTAAAATTAATATCTTTACTCTTCTGTCCTAAGACAATAAAGGGAACATAGAATACTCTACCCATTTATCACCTTCAAATTCATGTTATTATGGTTGTATATTTTAATTATATCTTTTTGTGATCTTATAAGCCATTATTAATGTTTATATAGTCAATAATTGTTGAGCTTCACCAATATATTTAACATGTTCTTTGTTTTTTATTCCTTCTAAGCATCTCAAACCTTACATCTGGGATTAATTTTCTTCTGCCTGAGGTAGATCCTTCATAATTTACTTTGGTGAGACTAGTTTGGTATAGTGGCACACACTATCAGTTTATGTTTATCTGAATATGTCATTATTTCACCTTCATCCTGGAAGACATTTTCTCTGAGTGTAGAATTCTAAGTTGACAACTATTTTCTTTCAGCCCATTGACGATACCATTCTTTTGCCTTTTGCCTTTGGTTTCTGTTACTGCTATTGAGAATTGAACTGTTGTTCTCTATATTTTTTTTAAAGATTTATTTCTTTATTTATACAAGCACTGGGTACAGTCAGAAGCGCGGGAGGGTGAGAGAATTCACTAGAGCCAGAGCGGGGAGCAGAACAGGCAGACTGACGAAATACACTGCTGAGGGGAGCAGCGGGTGGCAGGAGAGGTCTGCACGCCATGTGGGACCCTCGCCTGGCAGCCGGGGATCTAATCAGCACTGCAGGGGCTGCGGGCAGCTTCGTAGCCCAGAGCTCAACCGCTGCACCACCAGGGAGGCCCCTGTTGTTCTATATTTTTCTTTTGACTATAATCAATCTTTTTTTTCTCTGTCTACCGTAATATTTTCACATCATCTTTGGTGTTTTTACAGTTTCAGTCTGATACTTCTAAACATGGATTTCATTTAATCTTGATGTCTTTAAAAAACCACACATATACTTATTAGTGGTGTGTTCATTGGAAAAAACTTGAAATGTTTGATGTGAAAGTTTAACTGTTTTATCATTAGTAGGGATTTCAAATCATGCAAGTAATTTGGTATTGTGAAGCACTTTCAGTGACTGATTTTTGAATATAAATAACCCTAGTCATGTTGAAGTAGAATTTGGAAGCAATCAAGTAGAAATAAAGATGTGCCCATTGGTGCCACATTCTGTCTTATAAAGATTCACAGAAGTCCCCAGAAGAACTTTAGAACTCTGGGGAAAGTATGGCTAAATATTATTAGTAGATATTCATCAAAAGGCATTGCATATATAATTAATTTTTTATTTTTTCAAGCTTTGCTTAGATAGAATTAATACTGTACTTACACTAGGTGAAATGTTCTTTTTGAGGGAGAAAACTTTAGCTAATACATTAAATGGCAGCTATAATACGAAAGTATAATTTTTTAGATATATTCTTGAAAGAAAATTATTTAAATTACTTTTTGTTATTTTTAATATAAAAATTTTTCTCTAATAGAAAAAGTGATAAATGCTCAAAACAAAAAATTGAGAACATACAGAGATAACCATGGTAAGTAGTCTGATCTATATTTGACTTCCTATTGCCTTTTTTCTTTTTGTCTTAAACATACATACTCAAATCAGTAGAGGATTGTTAAAATAAATCTTGGTATAGTTAATAATATAGAACAATTTAGAAGAATGAAAATGTTCCTTATTTACTAAGAAAGTCCTCAATGCTATATTAAAAGCAATTCTACAGAGCCTCCCTAGTGGTGCAGGGATTAAAGTCTCAGTGCTAGCAAGCTATTGCCAGCCACTGCGGCATGAGTTTGATCCCTGGCCAGGGAGCTAACCCACATATGGTACAGCACACCTCTCCTGTCTTGCCCACTGTTCCCCTCAGCAGTGTATTTCAGTATATCCGCCTGTTCTCCTCACTCTGTCTCTGGTGAATCCTCTCACGCTCCACACCTCTGGCCTAGACCCCAGTTCTTGTGTGCATAAATAAATAAAATAAATCTTTTTCTTTAAAGCAATTCTTCAAAATATATAACACCTTGAAATCAAAACAAATATATTTCTATATGTAACTATAGGTGTATTCCTATAAATACATAGGAATGATCTGAAAGACTATATGTCAAATCTGTAACAGTGGTTATTTCTGGGAAGAGGTATTAGGTGGTAATGGGAACTTTTGCTTATTATCTGTGGCTTACAAAAACCTGCATATGTACATATGGCCCCCAACTTACAGTAGTTCAACTTGCAGTTTTTGGACTTTCTGATGGTATAAAAGCAATATACATTTAGTAGAAACTGTACTTCAAATTCTGAATTTTGATCTTCCCAGGCTGGTGATAGGCAGTACTGATAATGACTAGCAGTAATTAGCAGCAGTTCCTAGCCAGCCATGCCCTGTAATTCAATAGATTACATGAGCTACTCAATGCATTATAAAATAGAGTTTGTATTAGATGATTTTGCCCAACTCTAAATTAATATGACTGTTCTGAGCATGTTGAAGGTAGGTGAGGCTCAGCCACTAGTTATATTAATGTGTTTTCAGCATATATATTTCATTTATGGTAAGCTTAGGGCATGTAACCCCACTGGTAAGTTAAGGAAAATCTTTACTTTGATATAATTAGCAATTTTCATTTGAAAAGGGATTATCTTGCATATTCCTTAAGTATTTTTTTAATAATGTATGTGTTCCCATGTATCCCTACAAATGAAATATTTATTTCTATGTTGATTGTATCATGATTATGCCATAATTTACTTAACAAAGGTAGATGATATGGTGAATATACTTTTGTATTCCTCTGTTTTCATAAGATAAATTTGCTGGGTCAAGGGTTATGTTTCTAAGCCTGTCAAATGGTCTTTCAGAAAAATACATTTCCACTCCCCTCAGAGGTGGGTGAAGATTTTCTTTCCTTTTTTTTTTTTAAAGATTTATTTATTTATGCATACAAGAGCTGGGATACAGGCCAGAGGCATGGGGGAGGGGGTGGGGGTGAGAGGATTCACCAGAGACAGAGTGGGGAACAGAACAGGCAGATTGACCAAAGTACACTGCTGAGGAGAGCAGCAGCAAGCCAGGAGAGGTCTGCTGCGCCATGTGGGTAGCTCCCTGGCCAGCCAGGGATCAAACTTGTGCTGCAGAGGCTGCTGATTGCTTCATAGTGTGGTGCTCAACCCCTTGTGCCACCAGGGAGGCCCCGAGACATGTATTTTTTGAGGCATCCATGAATGCTGCTTGACTTTGAATTAAAAAACTGGTTATTTAATAAGCTTTACTGAATTTCTTTTCAAGAATAGTAATAAAATTCTGTTGACTTTAAAACAACTTCTGACAATTTTTTCCTCTGCTAACACGTCTATAATCAGAAACAGTCAAGTTCTTACCAGGCTTAGGAGTAGAAAAATCCACTGAGAAACATATCTTGGATGTAAAATGAAGCAAGCTATGTGTTTTTTCCTCTCTTTTGTTTATTTAAATTTTCCTTTTTTTGGTTCTTATTATGACCCTACAGTCTTTCAAAGCTCTTTGCTTCTGATTGGTGCTGTCATACTCATTAGATTTATTCTGGAGACCTGTGCAGAATGTCTAGAGACAGAGGAAAAAAGTTATGTGTTCTGCTGTTTCCTTGGCAGTTTAAAGAAGGCTGACTAAAGTAAACTAAAACAAGGTCCATTGTAGATACTCTTCTTAAAGAATCTATTTAATCTTGCTGTTTTCTGTTTCACCATGCTTTCCCCCTCCTTTGAATCATATATATATATTTTTTAAAGAGAGATAACAGAGAGAGGGAGAGAAATTTAGGAATGCTCTGTAAACTATTGGTTTCTTCTCATATTGCCCTTCGTTTGCTCTGGCATATACAGTCACAGAAATTTGTACCTAGTCATTTCATTAAAATCCAAATATTTATTAATTGAAGACTTAGAATCCAGCAATTTAGAATCAGATTGGGACCTACTGTTATTTTTAATATTTCTTAGAAATCTTTTCCTTTTTCCTGTATTGTATTGGGAAAGTTTGTACATAATAGGTTACTATTTTATGTCTGTAGTTTTATTTATGAATACAATAAATGTAAATTTTTAGTCGAGAAATTATATTTTGAATTTAGGTAATTTCTAAATCATTAATGAGTTAGTTTTAACTTAGCTTCAGTTTTATGCATCAGTTGTAATTAATAATCCACATTGATGCAGACTTTCGTCTTGTAGTCTAATTCTTTAAGCATTTGTGATCATACAGACCGGAAAGGAGGGTAGCAAACTTCCAGATGCTTTGAGTATAAAGTTGCAGAATCCCAAGGGTATAACGGAATTCCTTTGGTCCAAAGGGAACTGTGGAGGCGGTGAAAACCTAGAATCAGGAAGGTGTCTAGCCAAGCTTTACTGTCTCGTGGCCATCATCTCTTCTCTTTCCTTGATAAAATCCT